AAGAGCCGCTTCGTTAATTGCTTTTAAGTTTTTAACGGGGTTTAAGCGTGTCTTGCTGGGGGCAGGGTGGGGTGGGGGTGTCGGGCCCGGGGGGCCGGAGCCCCTTCAGCGGAACTGCGGTTTGTTCTTAAGGCAGCCCCGCTTCGCCGTCCTGTAACTTTTATTTTGGTATTGCTTCAGAAAAACGTTTTGAAAAATATATGGAAAATAGGGGAGAACGCTAGCTTCGAGGAGCCATAATACGCGGTGTTGATTTCTATGTAACTGCAGGGGAAGGTTACATGTCTGGTGAAATTTGTTCCCCCGTGGCAGCAGTCTGATGTTGTACCGAGGGAAAGCTGGTGAGGAAATCCAGTGTGCCATGTGTGTGTCTCAGGCCTCAGATTCCTATCTCCGTTGTGCGCGATGTGTTTCATCAATCAGCAGGTAGATTTTCACTTGTCTGTTTTGTGGTCAATGTTGCAAGAGGCATCTTGTGTTCCTTCACACATTTATTATTATAATTTATTTGTAAGTGTGTCTGGAAGGCTACAAGCATTAGCCTATCTCAAGGGTATGAGGATATACTAATAACAATGTGGAAAAATCCTTCAGTGGCAAATTTGGAAATATACTGAATTTTCAACTCTCAAGTGGTTTGTTTTGAATCATATTAATGAGTTGCAGGAAAACAAGCCAGAATGTTCATCTTGTATAGGGTTAACTATATGGGTACGGAATTTGAGAGATGTTTGTACAACCTTTTTTGGAGACCTCTGGTGTTGGAGGCAGAGCAATCTTCCCACGCAATTTATTTATGTGCTCATTAAGAAAAACTTTGCAACTGTAAGGACAATAATGTACTTGAATCCTCTCAGCTACAATTTGAATCCATTTCTAGTCACAACTATAAATGGCTTGGGGAACAGCTTATTTCTGTTTTCTTCAAAGCTGGCTCTTATGTATGCTTTTGTTTCATGGTTGTGGGGGGTTTTTTGTGCTTTTTAATGAGGTCTCCTCTATTTTAACTTAAACATTCCTAGTTACTTTAATCTTTTCCTGTATATTATGTACTTAAGCTCTGATCATTCTTGATCTTCTTCTCTGGCCTCATTCCAATTAGTTCATATATTTGACTCAATTTGAAGGGCAGTATTCAAAACTGGATAGAGTATGGCAGCTGAATTCTAAACAGTAGTGAGTAGTATGGAAGACTCGTGCTATCAAAGCTTTACTTCTGTTTACACATCCTACTATGGACGGCTTTCTTGCTGTTGGCATATTTAGCTTCTGTTCCAACTTAGTCTCCAGTTCTTCAATGGCCTACGTTACTTCTTGACTCTATTTATTTGCATGACCTTGCAGCCAAGATGAAAAGTAGTGTCAATTTAATATTAAATTGGACCTGTGCCACAAACTAAATCTTTATCACATAGGGAAGTACGTTTTCTTACTCTAATTAGGACAAGCCTGTGTACTTCCAAGGCTGGCAGGAGACAAAATTCCAAGCTTGTCTTTTGCTCTTTGATCTTTAGCAGTAGTGTGTTTATTCCTTAGATGTGCAAGGCACAGAGCACCCTGAAATAGATGTGGAGAAGTCTGTCCTTAGTAAACAAGATTTGAAAATATATTTGGGCCACAGAGTAATGCCTATCTTAGCTCCTTTCTCCTTCTCCTGCATCCCCTAAGTTTACCTCATCTGAGCCTTTAGTCTTTTACAGGGCAAGAAGACCACAGCAAGAAGCTCTGTTCTGGTTTTGACACCTTGTACTACAGAACACTTTCCTCATTCACCAGATAGAATCTTTAAAAAATTTATAAGCTAAATACAAAATCCCTTGTGTAATATGCCACAGCTGTCTCTTACTTCGGATTTTTTTTCTTTGCATGTCACTATACTGTTTGAGCACTTTCCTGATGTGTAAATTAGATCTGTATGACAGTATGTTAACTAAAATTCATCAATCTTTACAGTTCTTTCTCAGGAGGTTTTCCTTCCCTGCTAATGGAGGCTGCTTTGAGCTGTACAGAAACTTCCAGCATAGCAGAGAAGCTTTTCTCCTTTTCTCAGCCTACCCATCTCTAATTTCATGGTAGCACAAACTAGAAAGCATTTGGTGTCACACACTTACTCTCTCTAAACTCTCTGCCTTCACATGATGTGACAACAACTTGGAGGAAAAGGGGGTCTCCTCAGAGTGTTGTGTTCTCTTGCATCTTCAAAAGAAGACTAAAACTGACTAGCTGTTAAAATTCTACAGGAAAAGTTGACTTTATCAACTGCTTCATAGCATTGATAAGGCCTATCCTGAATGATTTCAGTGAGATTAGGTAACTCCTCAGTGTAGTGACAGCTGCATGTAAGGCATACATCCAAATGTTATTTCATAAGGCCCACAGTTATATAGGACCATATCTAATAAAGGTGGAACAATCCTACCAGATGACCAGGTTTCTTTCCATTAAGCTTAAGAAAAATCTTGATTCACTAGATATTTTCAGTCTTTTGTGCATATGTCTTGAATCTCATTGTAACTTGCTTTAAATCACAGGAGGCTTTTATTTTTTGCAATGACTTTGAATGGACTTTTTAGATATTTCAGAATTTTTAAAAGCTAGGGTCATTAACTCTTTGTGAAGAGACAGGGCTTTTGGAGACACTGAATAAATTATTTTTTATTCTGCTGGTATGTAGAAAGAATATACAACTTGGGAGTTGTAGTATCAAGATGCCACAGCTTATAGTTAACAGAAACATACTGTGTATCTCAAAGTTATAACAAGTCCTAACTATTACGCTGTTGCTTTAAAGTTTGCTCCCTCCATTCCTTTTCTTTTTTATATGGGGGTATAGGTAATACCATAAGAAGTATTTTTATTCTGTTTTTCTTACTACTCTTGTGGACTGAAATACTTAATCTGTCTTAGATGCAGCATTTTAAGAAGGATGTGACCAACTGAAGTTAGTCCAGAGACAATTAAAAAACCAATCAGTTCTTTTTTTTGGTTTGTTTTTTTTTGTTGTTGTTTTTGTTTTTGTGTTTGTGTTTTTTTTAAGTGGACCTAAACGCAATACTTGAAGGAACAAAAGAATTTTCCTAGTTTAAAAAAAAAAAAAGAGAAAAGAGACTTTCAACACAAAGTTGTGACAGAGAACAGTTTTTAGTTCACGGGGAAAGGACAAGGCAAATAACTTTGTAGTAAAGAAAGGCTCAGCTGAGTGGAAGGAAGAGCTCTGTGAGAGGACAATGCAGTGGAGTGGGAGCACTGCTTAGGTTAAGGCACCTCCTTTAGCAGAAATTGTTAAAACTACTTTGGAGGCTGTGTAGACAGGAGTTGGCTTTGCGGTGACAAGCTTGGACTAAACAGTTGCTTGAGATCCTTTCTGGTTGTTCCTGTGACTATTTTAGTAACTTTTCATGCACTCAGGTACTTACAAAGTTACTGTTTCTTGCTTGCAAGTCATTATGCCTAGCTGAGGCACAGTAGCTTGCCCAAGTGTGTTTTGTCTGTTGAAAATTCAAGGAAAATTAAAATTGACTATGTCATGATTTTGCTTTAGACTATTCATTATGATGAATTATGATAAAACCCTCTATATTTATGGTGACTTAGAATCATAGAATGGTTTTAAGTTGGAAGAGACCCTAAAGATCATCTAGTTCCAACACCTCTGCCATGGGCAGGGACACCTCCCACTATACCAGGTTGCTCAAAGCCGTGTATACACATGGTTAGGTATGACAGCTCTGATATTCTAGCTCTGTGGTAAGGTAGTGAATATAGCCTATGTTGATCCTTGTTTTGGAGGTTATCCTCTTTCTGGTCGTAGTTTATAGTTAGTGTGTTGTTCTCTCTGACCAGTTCTGGTGTTTGCCATTTTGAGATAAAGCAAAAAGGATTACGCTACTGTTTCTTCTAGATACAGTTGATAAGATGCAGAAATGTGAACAGTAACTTTGTACTTAGTTTCAATGTACTGTTAATTTTTACTTCTCACTAACTCTGGATTAATTTAATTTTTTTCCTGAAGCCCAAGAATCCCTAGTTCTTCTTTGTCTCATCTTCATAATATTATATCTGGGAGTTAGAATTACTGCTGTAGGGGATAAATTTATTACAGTAAGTTTTTGTGGATTTTTTTAAGAATATGCTTTATTTGTATATAACCTAAATATCATAATGTAGCTGAACTGTATATTATTTGGAAGTAACACGCAGGATTAAACAGTATCTGTGTTACAGCACAGCTGACTTAAACTGGTTTGTTTCTTCTGGAAAGTAGTCTAGTTCTTCTGTATCATGTACCATAACCAGTGATTACTCTGTTATGAGGAAAGCATTTTAAGATAAGTTAAATCAGGAATATTCTAGTCTAGATGCTTTTGGTCTCTTATGCAGAAAAAGAGACAAACAGGCAATTATGTATTAATATAGGCTAAAATAATACTTTCTTTCTTATTTTAGGGACCTGTGGGATTTAAGAATCTCTCTCCTAAGAAAATTTGCTGCTTCTACAGCCTTCCGTCTTAGTGTGCAATTGATGATTTCACTTGAAATACCTATCTGAAGAAATTAACAGTAGGCGAGGTATAATTGCTTTTTAAAAATGTTAAAAGTTCAGCAGTGTGTAACAGCTGACAGGATACCCAAGAAAAAGCCATATATTTGTGACATTTGCTGTAAACAGTTTGAAACTCCATCAAAATTAGCTAGGCATTATCTGATACATACTGGTCAAAAGCCATTTGAATGTCATGTATGCCATAAAACATTTAGGCAGCTAGTCCACGTGGAGAGGCATCAGTTAACCCATAATTTGCCTTTTAAATGTATAATTTGTCATAGAAACTTCAAAAACTTAATCACTTTCTTAAAGCATCAGCAGCTTCATAATGAAAATTATCAGAATGATACCAAGCAAGCAGAAAATTCTGTGAATTTTGAGCAAGACAGGGTCACTTATGGCATATTTCGATGTTCTATGTGCTGTAAATCTTTTACAACTGAAGAGAGGTGGATGCTGCATCAGTGCCTGAAGGCAGATCATCTACGTGGTGCCAGAAGGAGAAAGAAAACCCATGCCTGTGAATCGTGTAACAAGACATTTCCATCAAGATCTAAGTTAGAAAGACACTTCCTTATTCACACTGGCCAGAAACCTTTTAAGTGTTCTTCATGTGGTAAATCTTTCAGACAGTCAACACACTTGAAAATCCATCAGCTCACACACACAGAAGAAAGGCCTTTTCAGTGCTGCTTTTGTCAGAAGGGGTTTAAAATACAGAGCAAACTCATGAAGCACAAACAGCTCCATGCCAGAAATAAGAATTTCCCCAATATTTTATACAAAGCAAAGACTCTTAAATATCCCAGACCACAGAACCTGTTGGAAGGAACGAGGGATAGTTTTGAGAATGCTGACACCTACGAGTCACAGAAGGACCCACATGACGTTCACTCGATTTATATCGTACCCTTTCAGTGCCCAGCATGTGAGCAGTGTTTTGAAACGGAGCAGGTTCTAAATTTGCACAAATGCTGTTATCTGAGAGATGGCAAAAGTTCAAGTAATGGTACAGCAGCAAGCAGCTACACAGTCAGCATGAAAAATAAGATCCTCATGAAGCTGAAGCGTACTGGAGGAAAGGCAACAGATTTTTCTCTGACTGACAGAAAAAAAATCAAATCAGGTCACTTTAAAAGTCCTGACCTGGTTGCAGCTAGAGATCAGCGTTCTGATCAGCGTGCTTCCACTAAACCTTTCAAGGATTGCCATAGCAAGCTTGACATGCACAAGGCACTTAGTAATCGGATGAAAAGAACGTTAGCTGTGCCATTACCTAGGCAAGAGCACCCGCAACCTCGTGACTTTGGAATTAATTTAAAAGGTATGCTTACTGGTGAAAGCATGTTAAACATCGATGATTCACTGCCTAATAAAGACGACGCTTTTTATGGTTCATCAGATGATGGCTTCTTTGATAATCCAGAAGTACTTCACTGTGCTTTTTCAGCTTCTGCTAAAAATATACATAGCAGACACAAAGTGTGTAAATGTGACAGATGTGAAAAAATCTTTCCGTCTTCATCCAAACTTCAAAGACATTATCTTATACACACGGGACAGAAGCCCTTTGGCTGTAATGTTTGTGGGAAGACATTTAGACAGTCAGCTCACTTAAAAAGACATCAGCTCACCCATACTGAAAAGAGACCCCATAAAAGCTCCGTTTGCCAGGTAGAATGTGAAAACCTGAACAAACTTTTCAATCATCAGGGAGATCACATTGAATTTAAGTCTTCTCAGCCTGTGGGTTATTCTCAAACACCTTCACGGGCATCTGGCTTTCAAGAATTTGAGCTGATTCAGTCAAAGCAAGCAGCTGAAATCAAAGTTGAAATTGAGTCAGGGGACTTTGTTCTTGACACCAGCAGTAGAAACACACAGCCGTATTTGTGTAGTAAATTGTTGGAAACAGAGCAAAGCTGTTACAGCTATTGGCATGATTTTTCGGAAGGTACTGAAAAAAGTGAAGTTGTTAACAAATTGTATCAGTGCAGTATCTGCTTTAAAACTTTTAAGTCGCCTTCTAAGCTTGAAAGACATTACCTAATGCATGCTGGACAGAAGCCATTTGAATGTTTAGTTTGTGGTAAAAATTTCAGACAGGCCCCACACTTGAAACGACACCACCTTATTCACTTTAAAGAGAGCTTAAAACTGAGTTCCACTGAGCAATAACCGGAGAATATATTGTTTTTATCAAAACATGGTTATGTCCTATGAAATTGTATATTAAAATTTCGGTTGCATAATTATTAACAGGCTTATGTTAGACCAAACAATTGACTGAAGGGGATTATCTTTTTTCTGTTATGGAGATGACCTGGTGAAGGGTTAATTTACTGTCTTCAGCACTGTCTACTTGATATAATTTGTGATGAATGTGAGAAGATGTTTAAAACAACAAACATGCAACAAAAAAGCCACTTTGCCTTTATTTTCCTAACTTAATTTATAAATACACGTTAATAGTGTTGCAGCAATATGCAGTGCTCCTTGAATCGGATATTTTAAATTAAGCCTTTTCCCATGTAGTATTTTATGGCATTATGTTGTCTCATGATAACCATCAAAATGTAATGTGCTTGGAGATCTATGGATTAGTAATTGGACCTTTTCCCTTTTTCTGACAAAATATAAATAGACAATGCTAAAATAGCAGGGTTTATAATCAATCAATCTATTTCACCACTTCGTTATCTCCACTTCTTTGTATATCCCTTGCCTTGTCTAGCTTTTTTTTGGCCAATTCATATAATACTGAACTATTTTTTTTACAAGAAAAGAGAACAAGAAATTATCATTAATATTACAGATGGGCTTACTATCTGTTCCAGTCTCCTTTCCTTCTCGCATACATATTGCACCAGTACAAGAAATGTTCTGTAAGATGTGATAATAACTTAGACGAGCAGTTTTGTCAGGAAATCATATTCTTGTTACATTAAATATAAGAGACTGAAAATGACTTTTAACTCAAATTAAATAATTCTGATTTTGTATTAATAGAATATGTAGTTATACTTTCTGGTAAGTAGAGAGCTTTGCCCATTGTGCCTGCGGGGCTGGCAAAAAGTATAAGTGCAGTGGAGCTTTATTCATTATGAACAAGAATGAAGTTTGTTTCTTTTCTTTTCCTCTGAAAAAGCTACCTTTTAGGATATTTTCCTTTGTTATGCAACTTCTGAATAGTTGAAACTAGAAGTTTTTAATTCTATTTCTAAATTAACAGATCTGTAAGATATGAGGCATTTTTTTGGCTATTTAAATAGACTTGTATTTATTTAAGTAAAATGGTTTTGATTTTTTTTTTTTTTTAATTTTTGAAGTGATTTACCTAGGTCTTGCTGTGGCATAAGCTTTGTAGTATTTGGGGTAAATGAAGTGAAGAGTGAAGGAAGTTTTTATTTTATTTTCATAAATACTATTCTTTCCCACTTTCAGAGAGAATAAAACCAGGAAAGATACTCAGAAAGAGTCTGTGGTTACTATCATTTTTGTATGACAGATGAATCAGTACAGTAATAATGACTATAGTTATATATTGAGATTTTTTTTTTTCTCCCTATGTGAGTTGTTTCATATTGAAAGACAGAATACTGTATAAAATGTTTTGAAAGTGTATTGTAAAGCTCTTTTAAAATACTTGTAATAAACTATTTTATTTATATTGCACTTTTATTGTATACTTTATGTGCAAACCAGAGTTTCAAAACTACGAAGCATTTAGTATGCAGCAAAGTTTAAGACTACATATCAAAACAACTAACTTTGCATGTTAGATCAATAGGTTTTGTTTCAGGTATTTTTGTTGCAGAAATAAAATAGAAATATGTTTAAAGAGAATAAGACTTTTCTGAAGGAGTCGCAGTCATTTTAAAAAAAGCTATGCTTGAGAATAATGTTTAGAGAACACTAAACTTGGTATGTTTTGAAAATAACGATTTGAGTAACATGAGGGGAAGGTAATACAGAAAGCTACTTTTCAGGGATGAATAGACGTATGTGGGAAGTGTTCCTGTCTGATTAATTTGGAAACTGATGTAATCTTTGGGCTCCATGGGATTTCAGAAGGGCAGTGAGGGCCACTTTGTTTATCTGGCTCTCTATCCCTTTATGAAAAGTCTTGTGTCAGTATAAAGTCAAGATTTTAGGAGGATTATAGCATAAAGTAGCTAGAAGGGGGTAAAGCAGTTTCTAAGAGTCAGGAGAAAAAAAAAAAATCTAAGGTTGAAATCCTGTCTCTTTTGAAGTTAGCAGCAAAATCATCCAAGTACCTTTGAGAATTTCAGCTAGAATGGTTTTCCCAGTGTTAACAATAACACTTTGTGTTGTTCATTAGTATGTTAGTCATTTTCCATAACGCTTCAAGGCAAGTTCGAGCCATCAATCTTTGAAGTATCTTTGGTGGCAGAAACATTGCCTGTGGTTTTTTTAGAATGAGCTGGTGGCTAATAGTAACAATCTCATAGTACTGAAGTAGTGGATTTTTTAAAGACTATATACAGAACCAAAGCATATTGTAAACAGGAAAACAGTGGGTCCTCCTGTGTTAATACTGAGCTCCCCCCAGGAGAACTCCTCACACTGCACAGATTCAGCTTCGAGGTAGTTCTATGTGGAATAAAAGAAGGGTCAAGTATTTTAAAACAAGCAGAAAGAGGTAAAAGGGATTTATTTTTTTTTAAGACAAATAAAGTCTGTAATATTAAGTTCCCTGGAACTGCAGTACTAACTGAACACGCTGTCCATTTTCTATCTAGGAAATGTGGCTATCAATAACTTAAAATGTTTCTCCTTGTAATGTTTGCAGAAAGTCAAAACTTGCAATATATATATATTCCTATATATGTCTAGAGAAAAATTTGCAAAGGAAAAAAAAGCCATCATAAACCACAGAAAAACTGTTTAATCACTTTTATAGCTGCTTCTTACTGAGTGTGGTTTCTCACTTGTCTGTGATCTGCTCTGTTATACCTAGCGCCAATATGAAAAGTTAGTGAGCCAAATGGGAGATAGACACAAAAGAAATTTAATTGAAGTTAATGAGAGCTTAGGCTTCAAATTGAGATGGTGGGTCTAATGTTTAGTTTTCCTGGCTGCCGCCTTGTATAAATGTAAAACTCTGAAAGTCAGAATCTCGCAACAGCAGCTCACTCGAGTAACACTTAGATAAGTACAGTTGGATGACTCTTAAATCAATAAAGACTATGGATTCAGTCCTTCTAATGGCCCCTTGTAATAATGTTGAAAATGCCTGGATCTCCTAAATAACTAAAGGGGTCACGGTTCTTATTACTAGCATGAGATTTTGTGGATTTTTTAAAGTGCAAGTTTTAACTTAATAGCCTAGTTTTATGGTCTGATGGCTATGGATGAGATGTGTCTGAGAGGCAGTTATCGTAAGGAAAATTGAAATTACAGAAGTGACTTTTCTATGCTCTCATATACCTTATTTTCTCCACATTGAGCAAATTAATTGTACTTCGTATAATGACTAGTTCTGTCAAGCAGCTTTTAAACAGCATCTTTTTTAGCATCTGTTAAAAAAGTGAATCTTCAAAGTCCATGCAAGTGAAGGAGAAATCAGCCTTATGCCAACAAAATCACTCACAAGTAGAATTGATCATTTTCTTGTTCAGAAACTGACGTTCTAACGTGAAAGCATCATTATGTCTGCCCTGAGCTATCACAAGTCTTTGAATGCTGTTTCACTTGGGCACTCTGCCATTCCAGTTCCTGTCTGCTTCCAGGAAATGCTCATCTGTGGCTCAATTCTGCTGTACACCTGACATAGTTTGGATATGCGGCTGAAATTTTGCCTCTTCACTGGAATCCCTCCGGTGTCCCTGGTTCCAATTCGCATGGATCTGTGAAACCCCGTATGTGACTTAGGGAGAGTCCTGGAGCTGGCTGTCGCACGTGTGCTGCCATGGCATGCAAAACGGCGCCTGAGGACGTGAGGGCATGAGGATGTGAGAAGGTGATGTGCTATATGATGTAGACTGAGGCCCGTCATTCTCCACTGGAAGTGGTCCGGGTATGTGGGGTTACTAAGAGCATATGGAAGTGGTGGTTGTTCAGGTTCACCTGTGGCTGTTTCACTGGAACATGCCTTGGTGGCACAGCGAAGGGGAGGAATACAGAGAACTCTGTGACCACTGTGTATATAAAAAAAAGCAAAATTCTATTCCTAAGCTAAAGAAACCAACTACGCATGCTGTCTCCCATTTGTACTCAATTTCTGTTGACATCAAGGAAAACACTTCTCTTCCTGGTATGCAAATTTACATTATTTTATTTGTGCAATTTTTAAGAGAGTACAAATTTTAAGGCTTAGTATGCGTTTGCAAAAGTAGCTTGCTGAGCTGCAGAAACTCGGATATCTGATTTCCTCAATTTCTACTTCATTTTGATGCGAAGGATCCTGAAAATACAGTTGAGAGAGGGATTCCTGTTAACGGCGACGCAGTCCAACTACACTGAGCAGAAACCTGCTAAGCCACCTAGGCACCTCAAGCGTCTCGCTCAGTTGGAGGGCAATTTTTAAGATCAAAACACGTGATTTTTTCATGACGTTGAGAGCAACCTTGGCAACCCTGTTTGCTGTACTGCCCCTTTTTTTTTTTTTTGTATTTTATACTCTGGGTCTTAATAATAGCAGGTACTTGAGTAGTGGGAATAGCTTCGTAAGAATTACCTCAGGCATCCGATTGCGTGTCTGATGCTAGTGCAATTAGCAGAGGAAAGATGCCCATTTGCCAATAAGCTAAAATGATTTGTTGTGTAGTATTTCAGTTTGTGTGACGGTGGTTTTTTTTTTTTTTCAGGAAAAGACATTATTAAAAGCTAATAAATTATTTTTTTGGTATTACAGCAGTGTGAATTTTGCTGTTTTCAGTAGATATTGTGTTTTATCGCCATTTTATCCCCTCTTAAAATCCTGACATACTAATGGAAGCGTCTACCAAAAGCCCAGAAGATGCAGAGAATGGCAAGGATGAGAGCTTTAGGAGACTCACCGAGGGGCGCAGCTCCAGCACGGTCAGTCCGCGCCGGGGATGGGGACGGCGGCAGCAGTGTCGGCAGGGGGCGCTCTTTGGGGCCCTCAGGAGAGTGCGCGGGGTGCTGAGAGCGCCGCCGGCCCCACAGGTAAGAGCGATGGGCAGTAACTGGTCCCCTCCTGTTCCCAGAGCCAAACCAGTAGTCGCTGCCCTCCCGGAGGAGGACCCGACCTGGTTACCGCTCGGCCAAAAGCTACCGCTGGAAGGCGTGTTGCGACCCAACCACAGCTCCCACACAGACCTGTGGCCGTGCGGGTCTCTGGCTGCAGGGAGTGCCTGAGCCCGTCCCCGTACTGGAGGGCAGCAAAGACAACGCCTGTGTGCGCTGTGGGCAGGGGAAGGGTCTGCTCAGCGTGGTGGCAGGGCTGAAGGAGGAGGTGGAAAGGTTAAGGACTGTCAGGGGGTGTGCGAGAGGGATGGGCTGGTGGAGCCACAGCCTGAGGCCGAGGGAGCAGACTGAGGGTCCACAAGTGGCAGAGGATCCCCTCCCCTCTTGCCCTCAGGCAGAAGGAGGGGACCGAAGAGAATGGCAACAGGTGCCTGCTCAGGGAGGCAGGTGAAGCCCTC